TTCGTATACGAAATAGCTTGATACAGATTTTCAAAAAGTAAGAAGTTAGTATATAAAAAGTTTAGCAAGTCACTAATTCCATATTAAACAAATTTATTTAAATATATCAGACATAATCAAAATTGGCAAATCTTTGTAAAATTAAATATTAATCCTAGAAAAAAATAACCAGTTGTTAAACAAGAAGTTATAAGATAAAATGTCAATGTCTTAATGTAAGCAACCAGTCATACATGAAATTTAATTATAANAATACACCAAAACCAAATTGATATCACAACAATAAAATTTTTTTGGCGCTAACATATACTCTCGTACACACACACACACACAATATCATAACAATATATACGTTTGATGCAGTGATGAATCTTAAATTAATTATTTATCACTAAAGAAATTCGACACCAGCTGATATTTTAAAACTCGATCTCTACTTGCAACGCCTTGTGATATTTCCAAGAATATAAATATACTTTTCTAAAAACAAAAACGAAACATTCTAGAAAATTTAAAATAACTACTGTTATTTTACATTTTGTTTCTCAAAAAAATTTATAGAATATTTTAACAATAATTATGACGTCCTAAAATATAAATAGAGAGTAGAAATTTTACCTTTAATTAGAAAAAATAATTCGCCGATATTTTCATGATACGAACTTTTTTCACAAACGAGTAATGTCAGGTTTAATAAAGCGATTCGTAATGTCAATAAAAGTTTCAATTTTACAAATAATTTTTTTTTTAACCTTTTTTGGTTTGAATTTTGATGTATTTCATTTATAAAAATAATAATTTCAGGAAACATTATTTAAAATTAACATTAGATTATAAAAAAACACGAAAATGATATACATACATCCAAAATTTCCGATATTTTATTTCAGGTCTGGCGTTCGTCAACACCAAGTACGCCCCCTCGTCAGGCAACTGGCCTGACATTCAGTTCCACTTCGCCCCGAGCAGCGTAAATTCCGATCCGGAGCAGGTTAGGAAGATCACCGGACTCCGCGACAGCGTCTACAACACCGTCTACAAGCCCCTGAAGGACGCCGAGACCTGGACCATCCTGCCCCTGCTTCTGAGGCCAAGGAGTACTGGCTGGGTGAGGCTGAAGTCGAAGAACCCCGAGGTATACCCGGACATCAACCCAAACTACTTCACGCACAAGGAGGATATCCAGACGTTGACGGAGGGGATCAGGATAGCCCTGAACGTCTCCGCCAGCGAGGCGTTCCAGAGGTTCAAGTCCAGGCCCCACATGATACCGTTTCCCGGTTAGTAGAAAGTCTTGCTACGAGGATGAGAGCGTTCATTGCTATTAAACGCGTTTTTTAGGTTGTAGACAATACGCCTTCGACACTGACGAGTACTGGGAGTGTTCCATCCGCCACTTTACCTTCACCATCTACCACCCCACCTCCACCTGCAAAATGGGCCCGGCTTCAGACCCGGACGCCGTGGTGGATGCCCGGTTGAAGGTGTACGGCATCGGAGGCTTGAGGGTGGTGGACGCTTCCATCATGCCCACCATAGTGAGCGGCAACACCAACGCGCCCGTCATTATGATCGGGGAGAAGGCGTCGGATATGATAAAGGAGGACTGGGGCATGGCCGTTAGGTAGTCACTAGCGGGACATTAACTGATAGTTACAACTGTTTTAAAAGCTAGTCATTTTGTGTATATTTATTATCAGTGTAGGTATAGTGTAAAAGAAATGTATCTTCATCTTACATTTTAAACTGAAGAACGTGTGTCTAAAGGAAGAAAAATAGACTATAAACAGTTTAGATGAAAGTAACACATAATCTATTTGCTATTTAAAATATTTGCGTGTCGTGTTGCTTTCAGCACTATTTGGTTATATGACCAATAACACGCGATTATTTATATTATAAAATAAATTAGTAAATAAATGAAAATCATTGAAATAAGCAAAATTTACGAAAGAGATCTAATAATAAGAATTAAATACGTTATATATTCTATTAACATTATTATCGATACTTTTTATTCTGCAGCAAATTATTATTAATTTATGCTTAATTATTTTTGAATAGACATATTTTCTATGTAATACATATTATTACGCAAACCTATTCAGAAAATGTAAGTTTTACAGAAAAAAATGAACTCTATTCCTACTACCTACTTTATTCAACTTTAGCTTGGAATTTGTATATATAATTTTAGGGTATATCGTGTAAATAAAGTAGCGACATTTTTATTTTTTTAATAAATCATTTAAAACCATTTTCTCGAGTTATTTATTCATAATAAATTAGAGATTAACCCCCTTATCAACTTGTACTCTTCAACACTTTGAGAACGAAGGAATGACAGTTTGGTTCACTATCTAATAATTTATACCTAGTGTAAACCTCGTTTGAGGGAAAAAAACTTATCCTATGAACCACAAATAGGTCCAGATCCAGACAACAATTAATTGGATTATTGGATTATTTTTACGATTAAGAAAGTAATTAACTAAAATTTGTACATTTTGTTACATTTCTCAACATTTTATGAATTTTTGTATCTTGGTCTATTTGTGCTACAGTTCTGTTTGTTTTCCGAGTTATTACAAAAAAAGTCAATTTGACATTCAGATTCGTTGCAAGTTTTTTGCAACACAATTCTGAATCTACTGTTTTAATTCCCATTAAAAATTATTATTTACAAATAAATTAAAAATGAGATTCCATGATCTATACTTCTTTTTTATTACAATTTACTCCTTTATTGATAAGATCACGCAGTCTTGTGGAATCAAAATATGAAACCTATTTTTTTTTAAAAAAAGACCTGTACTTTTTGATAATAGTCAACTTTCAGTTTCACTGCAAATTAATTTCAATAGTAGTTGGTTTGATTAACCTCGTATATTTCAGTTTCTCCAGGATAGTAACTTGTCATTGCAATGGGGAGTTTGTATAAGAAAAAAAATGTGTAATATATTTATGTATTTTGTCCGCCAGATTCATGTCACTTTAATGATTTTTGTAAAAATACAAAATTAAATTTTTTGTCACATTATTTCATTTTATGGTAATATCTGATACACTGACAGGCATACCATTCCAGCAATATACAGGGTGTTTCAGTGCGAGTGAATCAAACTTTAACCACAAATAGAACTAGAATTTTGAAAAAAAAATCGAATTTTCAAAATGTTTGCACAGCCTCAAATAAAGCAATTAGATACTTGAAAAAATTTTTACACAGAAAATGACGCTCAACGTTTCAAATGGTTTTTGAAAAATTGAAATCGGTTGATTAGGATGGCCACAGTAAATTTTTAAAGTTAACACTCTTTGTTTTTATTTTTAAACAATTAGATGACATTTACCAATTTGCAATTTAGTAATTTTTTTTAATTATAATTTTAAAGTACCTACTCGGAAAGACGCTTCTTAAAAAAAAAGTTAAATTACGTTTGGTTCTCGAGATATAAGCGGTCAAAGTTTATCAGCTTTTACCGTTAATTTATGAACAATTTAGCAATAATAATCTTTGATCCAGTGGCTTCGTTTTCCCGAGTTCTCAATTGGAAAAAATTTTTATATCCATAGATTATCGGCAACATATATAAATCACCGGAAAAGCTGTCGCTCGCACGCGCGAAAAGTGACTCAAAACACGAACAGTGGGGGAGGGGGCTTTCGTTCCGAGACTAAATTCGGAATTTCAAAATGAGAAGGTACGAAAAAAATTGCATTACCTCGGCTTCTAATGGACCAATTTGGATCTTTTTTTTAATCCGATGTCTCGCGAGCCAAGAAATTCGAATATCGTAATGCCAACTGTCTAATTTGCACATATTTTCTTATAGAGTTTATTATTTATGCATTAAATATACTGTATATTTTACCCTGTGCTATTTTGCATTTTTTCCATGAAAAAATTTGTTTACGTATATATTTCAACACTATGAATATGAATGTATTTACCTATTTATAATTATTACAATTATTTAAATGATTTTTGCTTAAACAATTAAAAAAAAATTTTTTTTGGAAATTAATTTTTTTGTTAAATACAACAAAATTAAGAAAAAATGGTACTTTAAAATTATAATTTTTGAAAAAACTAAATTACAAATTGATA